TTGTCTGTGCGTGTGTGTTACGTGTATGTCAAGGTAAACAAAAAGCTTCTGCAGTTGGCAATAACGAAAACGAAGGCCCGAGGCGTAAAATAGTGACAAACAGTATATATTATTGTGTTTTTTTTTTTTGAGCCCCTTTTTGCGAATCAGGCTGTGGCAAACCAGCTCCGTCTTTGTCATTTCCCTTCTGCCCAGGCATCCGAATCAAGCAAAATGTGGCCGCAAGCGCAGCAATATATGCATGCATATGCATGCTGCATGCATACGTACATTGTCGCGATAGGATCTGAAAAGTCAGTTTGCTGATTGTATCATGTTGCAACACATGATATGACCCACATGTAGTGCAAGACGAATTGTTGTTCCAAAGTCAACTGCCAAGCTGTGCGTACTCTTATTTTTGGTGCTGTTCATTCAAGTGCGTACAGCCTGTAACTGTTAGCTATAACAAAGCAAGCTCCACCGAGCAAACGAGCTTTGCATAGCAGAATGGCGCACATGGTCAGAACACTGTGCTGATAGCAGTCGACAAGGAATACAACGGAGCCAAACATGCCGCCGTCTGAGCAGCCCAGCTCATTTGATCCAAGTGCACCGAGTAGCCGACCTCAGCCAGCAGAAACCGTTTGTTTTTCCCGAGTCTTGGTTGTCAAAAACCAAAGCTGGCGGATCTTCTTGAAAGATCCTGGGGGTGGCCTACAGCAGCCAAACCGAGAACGGAGCTCTCCAGTGTAAGGAAAGAAAACCATCCTCAATTGATTGGCCTAGAGTCTTGCAGGGGTATCCAAAAGCTTCTAATGAATGACTCGGCGAGAAAACCAGGCACATTTTGCCCAACGGTTGGTTTAGAGCCGGACACTGTGGGCCGCACTCTGTCGCCCACCTCCTCGCCCCGCTCCTCACGCTTTCATGGTCAGCTGGCTAAGCTGGTTCAAGACGTTTTTTAATCAACAGAATCACAATTTGTCCGAAAGGGCCTGGTCTTAAGATCCGCTTTTGGACACACCTGGGTGTGACGGACAGGGTTGTGACGGCTAGGGTGGCCATGGGACAATGACGGAATCCTGCTCAAGATGCCAAAAGAAGGCACTTCTTCTCTGAGCACTGCGGCAACACTTTCCAGACGTGTCCAAGCGGTCACGTCGCCGGTATTTCAAAGAGATGTTCGGGCTTGGTCTCTGCAGTTAGGGTCATGTACCACTGCCTAACAGCATTTCATTGAGTTACCTGTAGTTACCTGCTGCAAGCAAAGTGTTGCGAGTCTGAAAGCAGCAACAGCAATGGTTCCCTCGGTTCCGCGCCTGCGCCACTCGATGCGCCAGGGAAAGGGCCTGAGGCTGGCCGACCGTGCCAAGCCACGCTGGGCGTCCAGGATGCGCCGAGCAACGCTCCGCAAAGCGCTGAGATGAGCAAGGAGCGAAGAGCGAGCATGCGTGAGAGGGGGATACACAGAAGATGTTCTCCAAAGCCTGTAAACACATAAGCAGGCAACAAGGCAAGTAATTTCGATTGCAAAGGCAAAGAACAAAGTCCCCTAGCCCCGTAGGTTTGAAACAATCAACTCCAAAGAATCCAAAAATGAACTTGCCAACACCTATGGCACAGTCCACTAATCTACACTACCTCCCACTAACATAGCACCGGAGAGAGCAACATGATTTGTTCCCCCAAATGAGAAAGTTCGGTCTTCCGGACAAGGGAAACCTCCAAATCAGCTTGCAGAGGTGAATTGGCCGGCGCAAATGACTCGAAGGTTTTGCGCTCGCGTTGCGTTTCATGCTCTGATCCCTTAGTCCCAATGTTGAGGCCCTAATCGCTATTAGTCACTATGCCGCTACCTCAGACTTGTCATCCCAATTGAATGCAGTTGTCCGTTCTGGTGAAGCAATGGCTCCTTGCGGTTCTGAATCAAATGACAGGCTTCCCCACCGAGATGCGCCGGGGTTGCGTGACCACGATGTTCGCATCCTCGAAGGCCTGAGTGAACCCTGAAAATCGGAGAAGGAGAGCCCTTTGGTGGGATGGGAAAATGAATCTGGAAGATCAAAAGGATCAAAAGGCAACTCTGAAAAAAAAGCTGTTGGGCACCTTTGGATGATATTCAACGGCAACCAACAGGAAATCTACCGTTTATGGGGCTGTCTCCTATTTTTGGAAACTCAAAGGAATCTCTACACCAATCATCTCCGCGTTCCGTGTCTTTTGGCTAGTCGCAAGCATCGAATGGCGTTTGGTCGTGAAACCGGTGCAAAAGGGGCATAATCACAATCACTGCTGGAAGGCTCCAGAAGAACCCAATTTCAGCAAACAAGGATCTGCAACCAGCAGTTGTGAAGGCTGCGGCTGCTACCCACGTCGAATTTTGTTAGGTCCTTTGACAACCTGACTCATGAGTATGTCCCAAGATCCCCTTTATGAGAAAATGAAAGGAAACGCAATGCAAAAGACTCCAAGTTTCTGGCGAATTTGTTCGGCCGAAAAAATGGTGAGCGGCCTCCAGGATGAACTGCGGGAGCTGCGTGGATTTGCCGCAGCCCGTCTCCCCCACCACCAGCGTCACCTGCGTGTCTGGAGCGGCGTTGTCTCAACATGAGGGCAAGTATCAAGTGCCTGATTTTCCTCGTCCAATTCAACAAGCTCCATCCCTCGCCTGTCGCTCCTGGATCGCTTGCAGCAGCATTGGCCGCGATTGCCAGGCTGGCAGCTGGCGCCTTTCACGCGCAGGAAAAGCGCCAAACGGGCAAAATCCACTTGCACTGGTTGATAGGCGGTTCTTTCAACCGCGATTCAACTCGGGTTTTGTCCACATTGGCAGCTTCCAAATCGCTGATTCTTCACCTAAAGGTCAAACTTCCCTTGTATCGCAGTGGAAAAAGGCACCTCATTCCATCCACTGGCTCCCTGGCACGAGCCCTGGATTCGGGGTGCCAAAAAACTAAAAAAAACTCCATCTGAACCGCAAAAGAAACATCGAGCCCCCTTCGAGGAAGAACCCTCTCCCAGTCCCTTCCATCGTTGAAGCATAAAGCAGGGTTCACTGCAGGAATGCACAAAAAGGTATCATGAAAAAGAAAAAGAGAGATGGCCCGAAATCGAACGGAGAATCGACCGAGACATGCCCCGAAATCGATGTTGTGCAGGCTAACCCCGAAAGGGCATGCGTCAACCGCAAAACCCACATGAGTCACTTGCTCAAAACCGATTGGGTATTAAAATGGTAATCCCAGAGCCATGCTTCAAGAATTAAGAAGGCGGATATCCGCAGCTATTTCTGGTTGGGATTGTCCCTCACTAACCTTGATCTACCCGGGTTTTGATTGTGGCTCACATGGTGTTTTCGGATTCATTCAGCACTGAGTTAGGGCCAGGAAATGAGGCCGACAGCTCTTTTCAAGAAATGAAGGGGTTGCCGCAAGAAGCCATGAAGCAGTAGCATGCTATGGTCTTTTAGCCCTTGCAAACGGCTCTTTCCTGAGGTATGGCTGGTATGGCCAGCTGCTGAGGTTCATCGTCACCTCACTCATTCCACTTCATGTCATCCCACAGAAGCTGTTACAATCCGACAAGAAAGCAGGTCATGCCCAGCGATTATCTGGCTGATTTGAGCACCCATTGATTTGCAGGTTCTGGATTGCGCCGCACGCAACGCCCGGCAATTCATCCTGAAGCCCCGTAGCTGACTTGGATTGTTCCATATGTTTCGTGCTTGAACCCCAAATGAACGGAAATAGCCTTTGATTTCGTGGTCCGGGTGGTGTCGAAGTTGAGCCCCATTAAATGGCCAGGGACAGCCTTTCGTTAAACGGGTGTATTTTGCTTAGAGTGCTAAAAGAAGTCCTGTTCACGGTTCAGAGGCCTTTGTGCCCAACCCCCCCGAAACGCCAACTCAGCGCCTCGTCTCCAGCAGCTCAGACTGCGGCACCGAGGGTGTCCAACCCCCCGCCGGCTTCGGCGGGGGCTTGGGGCCCAGCGCCGCCACCGTGCGAGGGGAGACCTCGAACCACGCCCTGAACGGGGGAAAGTTGAGATGGCAAAAAGAGAACCCGCCGCCCCCTGGGTATTCTCGGGGAATGGACCATACTGGAAATGTGGACAGAAGCTCAGGTGGAAACAGAGCGGAAACTGACAGGGCTACAGCATCCCTTGGGTCGGCTTGGGGCGAAGTAAACGAAAAACGCCCCGGATGTTTCTGCTCAAAGTTTCTAGAGACCACACAACTTTGACATATTCCCCTCTTCTCCTTTTGAGCTTAAGAACCAGCAGGTGCAACTGCTGAAACCCGGAGCCTCTTGAAGTTTGGCCGGCTGCATCAACTGCGTCGGTCCCAAGACTGCTTCCATTCCCAGGTTCGTCATAAGCACCTCCAACATGATCCCTAAGTGGCCCGCCCTGTAAAATGGCCAAATACCATTGCAAAGAGCAGCTATCACAAAGCAGCCAGCCCCCAACAATCTAGGCTATGTATCTGGCAAAATGAATTCCCTCCAATAGCAACAAATTTCTGGAGAGTTGCAACCATCTCTTTGCGAAGCGGTCGCTAATGCGACAAGAACTCCAGGACAAGAGGCCCTTCCTTCAGTACCCAAGCCTCCGCGAAGTCAGGGCCTCAAAAGGAACTCTCTGCATCAAAGCAGCTCCAAGCCATTCTGTTTCTGTGAAACAGACCGGCTACCGGGGCACCCGGCTGCTCGCAGTGGCGCGGAGGCTGCGGCGGCCTCTAACTCTAGAAAACGGTTTGGGTGTGGCTTTTGTGAATCCACACCGGTAAGACATAACATAACAAGAGAACTAAAAGAGTGCTAAAAAAGAAACAACACGGGGAAGAAGGGGTGTAATCCACATAAAGCACATTCAATCCGTTTTCTAGACCAATGGAACTCGTGCAAATTCATTCGGGCTCCAAAGGTCATGCTTTACACCTTGACCAAAGGGAAGACGGACGGAACACATGTATCTCCAGTCTCCCGCCAGCCAAAACACTCGGGGGCAATGCTTTTGCATCTGCTCCCTCGAAAGGGCTCTGCCGTGAAATAAAGCATACCTAGACAACAAGTTCTTGCAAGCCCCAAAAAAGTGGCAAAGTTCCACATGTCCTTTCAGCATGCCGCTGAGGCATTGTGATCTTCAACCACCACGTGCTGCCCCGCGTTTGGGACATCTGCCAGGAAATGGAACAAGCCAAGCCACCTGTCACTGCGGTGGTGCCCGAAGTTTCCCATGAAACCGGTGACCACACCTGACAGACTCATGCTTGAAACCTGGGAATCACTATCCAAAAGCTTTCAGTCTGAACTGAACGAAACAGCTGCCATCTTGAATCAACATATTTACCCACAGAAAAAAAGAAGAAAAACAAGAAAGAACAAAAATAAACTTCCCCATGCCCACCCTCGCATACCACTCAAACCCCTCATTTGTTCGCCTTTTCTCGCAGTGGAATCCAGGGTGGGGCAAAGACTGTCTGAAAAGCCGTGGCCGCTGCTAAAATCGACTGCGCGGATCACCGGACACCGCCTGGGCATTGCCGTCTTCTGCCGTAAGCTGCACTAAAGGATGGTTCAAGGCCTCCCACCTTGGCACAAAGTGGCGAGGATCCATCCCAACAGCTGTAGTGTACTTTCTCGTGCGTGCATTTCAAGAGAAACTATCGAGGTGGAAACAGAACTGCGGCATGAAAGGCCAGGAAGAAGGTGCTATCCAACAGCACGTGCTTCTGATAGAGTCCTGACCTCCTGACCTGAAGCCTTTAACCAACCTTAAGCCAATCCTAGATCAATCCTAGACAAAACGCAAATCACTCCGGAGAGAGAAAACACCAACCATGACCATTGGGGGAGGAAGGGTGCTAGCACTGTGTACGCGCTAATATGTATGTCTGCCTGTCTCTGCATGTATGTCTGCACGCCTGCTTGTTTGTAGGTCTTATGTAGGAAGGTGTGCCTGTACGTCTGTATGGCTGCATGTTTGTATCTCCGTATGTCTGTAAGTATGCCTCTCTCTCTCTCTCGCTGACTTTCTCTGGGTGTCTCAATGACTGTGTCTATCTGTCTGTCAGTCTGTCAGTCTGTCAGTCTGTCAGTCTGTCAGTCTGTCAGTCTGTCAGTCTGTCATGTCAGTCTATCTGTCTGTCAGCCTGTCAGTCTGGCAGTCTGTCAGTCTGTCAGTCTGTTTGTCTGTCGGAAGGAAGGCACCCTTCAAATTGGCCAACACAAGAAGAGGGAGATTGACGCTAGCTTCAGCCCAGCAGAGTCTTTCCAATGCCTCTGACCAATCCGACTCCTGGGCTCCACGCACTGCGTCAGGCCAGCGCAGCTGGGGCCACTCCTGAGGAACGTCCCTTTTTGAGGCTATGAAGTTCCAAGGCGCACTTTCTTGCAGAAAAAACTCTCAAACAACCATGATGCTTCCAGACTCCACATGCGGAAATCGGCGGGAAACTGTTGTGGGCAAACAAACTTCATTAAAAAACCGGCTGCAAAGCAAGTCAATCTCAAAATAACGCAGCGGAAAACAAACCTTGTTCTCGCTTCAACGCTGCCCAGGCCTGCGCAGCGTCATAAACGCCGCTCCCCAACCGGGCTTGGAGTTTCGCATCATGGGTTTTCGGAGGGGTGCTTCCAACAACATGATACCTGCCTGAACCCTCCAATGTTTCTTGTGACTGCACCCTGTCAACTGTGGCAGCCAGCTTTCCGCTCAGTACGCATGGGACACGAGAAGAAGGTTGCGCACTGTCCGCTGTACAAGCCTTGAAACAGGTGAGACAGAAATGCCCGGCATTCTCAGGGAAAGAATGAAATTACAAACCGCTCCTTTCACGGGCGTTCCCTTCATTCCTCGAGCTTCCAATTCTCACTCTCACGCTCGGCCTTCAATCCCGATACCGAACTTGGCCCAACACATTTTTGTCCAACCCCTGTCGCCCACCTCAGAGCAACACGCAGAAGCACCAACCCCCCAAACCGCACCTGACCGGCACCCGTTCCTCGGTGAGAAAGGCAAGCGACCCACCCTGAGTTCTGGATGGCCATGAGATTGAGCTTTCATGTGAACTCATCCAAACGAAACACTGCTTCTTCTCCGCCAAGAATAGTTCGCCAGCTACCAAGTTTGAAGCCATGTACGAAAGACTGAGCTATAGTGGAATTCCTCAAGAAGTATTTTCGGTCAACCGACCCAAAAGTACTGTGTATGAGTGGCTCCGAGATTATATGTCATAGATTCACATGGCTTCTCTTACTGCCGCAGCACCTGCATGTTGTGCATGTCATAAGGATTGTGTGTCAAGTTTGTATCCAAATCCGTCTCCAGTTGATATCTGATACTTATGACCCACCAAGATTGGTGTTCAAGTGTTTGAGAGATGCCTGCTCAAACCACAATCTGAAAAGTGACAAATGCTGCCTTGATCTCACAGGCTGCTTTCGTGTTGTGCCTGCCTCAGCAACAAACCCACATCACAACAAGGTTACTTTAGTTGGGTTTCGCGGCGCCGCGTCAATTAAGTAGCGGTTTGTAATCAGTGAGACTGACTAACACAAAACAATAAGAGCAGAAAATGACTTGCCCCGCATAGTATGCGCGTGTCTCAAGGTGTGAAGGTGACTGCTCGAATAGAAGTGTGCACAATGCATCAAAAAGTCTCAGGGCATGGCCAACAAAGCCCTCTCAGAATTGTAGGAACTTGTTTGCTCACTGTTTGTATGTTTTACACGGCCTTTACAGGGAAACCAAGAGGAAACCAAAAAAGATGAGGGGGCCAGGGGGCCCTACTTGAGGAAACATTTATACGATACCGAGTGAAGGCCTAAAAGTGGCCCAGGGCAAAATGACTCCCTGAGTGTGCGAAGCAACAGGGCAAAGCCTTCTTGCTGCATGTTGACAA